TGTTCCTCCTCCTCCTCCTCCTCCCCCTCCTCCTCTTCCTCCTTCGCGAATAGTGGAACGCCCACGGTGAAATACTAGCGTGGGGGGAGCAGTTTCCGAGAGAACGTGGTCCTGGACCCCGCGGCCTTCCTCCCCTAGGACGAATTCTTCCTCCTCTCGGTCGCTTCCCGACGGTCTCCCGGGGCCCGTGGGGGGCCCGTGGAGGGAGGAGGAGGAGGAGGAGGAGGAGGAGGAGGAAGAGGAGGAGGAGGAGGAGGTTGATGCGACGCGCGGCTTCGCAAGGTGCGTGCTCGAGTGGAAGAGGAGGAGGAGGAGGAGGAGGAGGAGGAGGAGCAGGAGGAGGAGGACGAGGAGGACGAGGACGAGCAGGAGGAGGAGGAGGAGGAGGAGGAGGAGGAGGAGGAGGAGGAGGAGGGGGGGGGCCCGAGGAGGCCCTGTGCATGGAGGGCCCGAGAGAACGGCGGCAGGCCTCGCGGGGCCCGCTCCCCCCCCCTCAGGACCCGCCTCCCTCCCCGCATGGCGACCCGAGCGGTCGGCGACACGCAAGCGTGACCCCGGGCAAGATGGAACCCTTGGCGCGGGGACCTCGGGGATGGACAAAAACCCCTTTCGTCGGGAGCGGCCAAGAGGGGGGTGTCCAGGAGGGGGGGGTGCAAATCATGACCGGCGGCACGTGCGCGGCCCGGCGGGGGGGCCAGGGACGAAATGAAAGAAGAAGAGGCGCCATGAGATCTCGGGAATGTCATGGCCCCCGCCATGATATCCACCCCCCCTAGTCATCACCCCCCTCTTTGCCGCCCCCGATTCAGTAAAACGTGGTTTAGTGAAAACGACCTGGGGCCCAAATCTCGCGGGCGCAAGCCTGGAAAATGACGGCCGCGGCGCACTCTCAGGAACCGAAAACTGACAATTCACTCATCGACGCGTCAGGGTCCAAGACTAGGAGTAGAGGGCAGAAAGTCACCCCCCCAATATCACCCCGAAAAGCGAAGCCGCTTCGTAAACGCACCCCGAACAAGGAATCGAACAGGGCAGGGCTGTTTAGTACACGCCCGGGGATGTTTACCTCATCAACGCCAATTATCGGGTCCGTGTGGTTTTCCTCCCTGGATAGAGGGGGCGCAAGGTGGCCAAAACCCAGGCTCGCGATCCGCTGCCACGCAGAATGACCCTATGCTCAGGTTGGACATGTCCCCCTACAGGCGGAGCTTGGACGACAGGGGCCAGCAGATCGCCCCCAGACTATTGTTGTTTGCCTATGTTTGAATGCTCCTCTTTTAGAGTAAAGGGGCCCCAGGACACACAGATAAACACACACACATTAAAAAAGATGTCCTATAGCTTCCCAGATGTTCTTGGTTTCTGCCTTCCCCCCCACTTCCTATATTTCCCCATATTTTCGAGGGGATCGACGATTCATTGTGTCTGTTAGGAGGGCACCAACTATACACCAACACCGATCCTGGCCAGGATCACCCTGGGCCCAGGATCGGTGTATACGCCCTCCTGCCTTGCGCAATAAGGCATATACACCGATCCTGGGCCCAGGGTGATCCTGGGCCAGGATCGGTGTTGGTGTATAGTTGGTGCCCTCCGATCTGTGTGTTTCTTCCCCTCCTGGCAGAGGCACAGGCCCGACTCCACCCTAGGCAAGGGGCGACCTCCGGCGCGCGGGCCGGAAGGGGGGCGCAGGGTGGCCACGGCCCACGCGTGCCACCCGCCGCCACCGCATCGCGCTCGGCGATCGGAGGGACCCCGAGGAGCCCGCACCAGCTGCTCCTCCTCGTCCTCCTCCCCCTCCCCCTCCCCCCTCCTCCTCCTCCTCCTCCTCCCCTCCCCCCTCCTCCCCCTCCTCCTCCTCCTCCTCCTCCTACTCCTCCTCCTCCTCCTCCTCCTCCTCCTCCTCCTCCTCCCCTTCTTCCCCTCCTCAGGTCCCTCCGACGACGGGCCACCCTCGTGAGCCTGCAGTCATTGGGAGCTCGACCGCAGGAAGCCTTCCACAGAGACCCCGGCCCTGAGACCGCTGGACGTCCACCGATGTTCGGTATGGGAATGTCACGCTTTCCGTAGCAGAACCGCCGAAGCCCAAGAAGCCCAGGGCGTTCTGGAGGCAAGCCAGGTGATTCTTGGCATGGGGTCCACTGTAGCCCTTCCAGGAACGGAAAAAATTGGTACAATGCCCAACCACAGAGGTTGTCCAAAACCGACAGCGGCCGCTGTTGCATGGGCGGGCCAGTGTCGTCAATGAACCACGTCCGCGGCGGCGCGGACAGCGAGCCTTGTCCAAGAGGAACAGGATCTGCTGCTGGGCATCGTGCACCCCCCCCCCCTTGCCGCGCCCGTGCCTGGGGCAACCCGAGAGGTACTGATGCCGCTAATCTCTCCCCGGACCTCTCCCCGGGCGCGTTCCGACCAGGATCTCGAAACGAAACCAGCGGCGGCGGCGACGGCCTCCCGGGAGGTCCGAAAAGGAGGAACACGAGGGAAGGGCAGCGGTATGGGTACTTCCCTCTCCCTCCGCTGGAGCTCGATCGTCCCGATGGTCGATCGGTGCTTCGAAGGTGGGGTCCCGAGGGGCGGGGTCCTCATGACGAGGTGCCTCAAACAACGTAAATCCACCCTCGGATCCCTTCCTATCCTTAGGACCCCACCCCTCAGGACCCCATCTTTGAACCACCCCAGAGATCCGACGTCGTGTTTTTTCTCAACACGGGGTTCCCTGAAGTCTCCACCCGTTCCCCAGGACTGGCCTTTCATCCTGAATCGTTTCTCGGCTCCGAGGCCAGCGATGGCCCCTAGACGCCGAAAGTCGCGCAAAACCTCCCCTGATTTCTTCAGTGCGTTTTGAGCAGGGACCGACCGTCCCGGCATTCCTATAGTCATACCACGACATGTTCTTAGAACCCAAACATGTTCTAAGAACAATAACAATGTTCTCAGAACAGAAAGCCGATATGTTCAAACAGGACAATATCAACCAGAAATATTATAAGAACATCTCGCGGGAACCACAGACGGCTCTCTGAACATTGTTTGGTGGGGCTATATCGGGTTGGGCGAAAGGTGGGGATAGCAAAAGGGGGGCTTGAGAATCAGCTCACGTGGCTGATTCTCCCGGCGCCTCCCGGCGCCGGAGGCGACCATGTATCGAGGAACGGGCCCCTCGGCGGGGCCGAAACCAGTTGCATGCAGCGAATTTCGTAACCCCCCCTTTCCCAATCCCCCCCTTGCGCCCGGCCCGACTATCGGCGAGCCGGGACGCCTCGCCACGTGTTCAAACAGGACAACCTCCACCAGAGCTGTTCTAAGAACATCTCGTGGGAACCACAGACGGTCCTCAGAACATCGCTTGGTGGGGCTATCGGCGAGCCTGGACGCCTCGCCACTGCTTCATCGCCACGGGCGCCTGGCCGCCGCCCGCCCGCGCGGGCGGGCAGCGCCTGGCAGGCCGTGCGCCCGGGCGGCGCCGCCGCGGGGAGCGCGGCGCCGCGCGCGCCGCCGGCGAGGGGGCGCCCGCGGGCCGCCGCGCGCGGCGCGCGCGGGGCGAGGCCGGGGCGCCGCGCGGCGGCGGCTGGTGGTGCCGGGGGGGCGACGACGAGGGCGCGCCTTTCCAGACCTCCTCCTCGCCATGGCTCGGGCGTCCACTCCCTGTGGTGTTTGTTTCGGTGTCGTGCGTGGGTGTTGTCGCCAGATGAGCAAGGATGCTCCTCGAGGGTCCTCGCCGAGGGAAGAATGCACACGTCCGAGCGATGCCAGGCCTCGCGCCGCGAGAACGAAAAAAAGCGCCACGGGAGGTTTGGTTCGCTCTGCTTCCGGCCTCCGGGATCCCGCAGCGGGCATCGGGGCCGTCAAAAAACGATTCAAAAAAACGACTCAGGAGGAGGGAGGAGGAGGAGGAGGAGGAGGAGGAGGAGGACGACGACGAGGAGGAGGAGGTCGAGGAGGAGGCGGAGGACGACTGGTCACGGGGAAGGGGTCCATGCCTCTGGGGGTCGACGTTGTGAAAAATCACAGCGTCGGAGGTCTGGGTCTGGAGCGGAGACCGGCCGCCGGGGCACTCCTAGAGGCCAATATCGCGACATCTGCGTTTTGCGCCCGTCGTGCTTGGGGCCGCATCCCAGAGATCCATTCGAGCACCCAGAAAAGTATCGGGAACAGCGTCGAACGAGGAGCGCCTCCCAGGGCCCGACACGTGAAAACCCTCAAGGTTCGGTCTTGTTGCTGGTGCTCGAAATTCTTTCTGGTGGTCAAGGCTAAATAAATTTGAACACCATAGCACGACATGTTCGTAGAACCCACAAATGCTCTTAAAATCAACAACCATGTTCTTTCATAAAATGAGCCCGACGTGTTTACACAATACGGCCCTGGCCAGAAATGTTATAAGAAGATGTCGTGCAGACCACAAGAGGTTCTTAGAACATTGGTTGGTGGGTCTATAGGCGAGCCAAGACAGTTCGCCACTGCTTGAAAGTCCTCGTCGTTGGCGTCGTCGTTGGCGTCTTCGTCGTCGTCGTTGTCGCTGTCGCCGTCGCCGTCGCCGTCGTCGTCGTCGTCTTCAGGGTCGGCGGCACTGGCCGTAAGGTTTTCACATTACGGTAAGAGCTCTACCGCAAGAAAACTCCAACAAAAAAATCAAACCCTGGGACCCTAGGGCGTCCATTGATTTTTGGTGTGGGAACGGTGCGCTTCCCATCGCGAAAACAACGAAACCCAAGAAACCCAGGGCACCCAGGAGGCAAGAAGGGAGCTTCTTGGCATGGGTTGCCGCTGCAGCCCAGGGGAGATCAATAGATGAGCGACGATCAAAAACAAATTTCGCGCGAGATTGTATAGCGACCTCACGCGGTGGCTTTAACGCCGGCCGCCAGCGCGGCACGCCACTGGAAGCGAGGGGGCTTATACGCGCGGCCTTACGCGGGCAGCTTACGCGCGAATGTCCGCGCAGACGGCACCGTTTGCTTTTGTGTCGCTCACGTGTGTCCAGGGGCGGCGATGGTCTATGCCTTCGGCGAGGCTCCCGGGCGAATGCGTGTATATGTTGCTCCCCCCCTGGCTGTTGGCCTCTGTCGTCGCCTCCGATGATGCCCGTGCTCGAAGTCGCGAGCCGAGCTGCCTTGCTCCCTGCGGTGGAGCACGGCAGCGAGGTGGGCCACCCTGGCGGCGAGGCGCTCGATCCTGCCGCCGCAACGCTCGATGAACTCCTGCTGCCTCCTGCAGGCGAGGCGGTTCTCGACCTGGAAGTGGTGCAGATCGATGCTCGTGGCCGCGCCCTTGAGCCTCATGCAGTGCTTGATGAAGACTTCGATGTCGATTTCCGGCGCGTCGTCGTCGCCAGCAAGCGTGTCGAAGAAGACCTTGGCGTCGCTAATGTCGAGCCCGAGGACGGCGAAGTGGGCCCTGAGCTTCTTGTTCGTCTGGTAGGCTGCGACGAACTCCTCCGAGGTGATCATGCGGTCCCCGTCCACGTCAATGTTCTCGCATACCCGCCTCAGCTCGCCAGACTCGACGAGCTCCTGCTTATGCTTCTCCTGGGCGAGCACCTTGTGGTCCGGCTTCGCCAGCTTCATCGCACTCTCGACAAAAATCCAACCAGCCCTCGGTGCGCAGGTGGTCTAGAGAGGCTCCTCATCCAACCCATTATTCCCCTTCGGGGAGGGGTTTACCTCTGCTCCCTATTAGTATAACCCCCCCCCCAAGGCGACCGACGGCCAACCAGGAACCATGCCCCCCCCACCACTACCTCTATCTAAACACAAGACCGCACTCAGCCTTCATATTTGGAGCATGCGCGGCCGACCCGATGCGCCTCCCCCACCATGCCTGTCAAAAAAACAATGCAAAGTACAATTTGGGACAAATTCTTGAGTCATGTTCGTGAGGCCCGCGAGCACTTTGCATTGTGTTTGACAGGTCCGCGGGGGTGTCAGCATATTGCCTGCTGTGCGCAGGGCTACCATCCCTAACAAAAAACTATACAACATGCACCTCGCAGCTAAATCTGGATAGTGCGCGGCCACCCTGCAATCACTGTCAAGTGGTTTTGACAGAGACGGCTGGGGTGGTGGCGTATGGCCTGCTGTGCGCAGGCCCACCAGACACAATGATTGGCATTGGTTTTCGACAGGGGTGGTGGTGGCTGGCATGTTTCCCGATGTGTGCTGTCACGTGCGCAGGCGCACCTGAAGCAGTCTGCACGTGCCCCGAACGTGGCGCACCTGGCGCGGCTGGAGCACCTGGGGTCGGCGTTTTTTCCCAGTAGCTGTCCATCCAAAGACGGCCGCTGAACATGCTCAGGCTCGGGTGGTACTTATGTGTTGGGAGGGCGGGAGGCCACCTCCGAAATCCTCGTCGACCGTGGCTGAATATCTAAGAATGAAAACCTAGGTTCATTATCTTCAGATGATACCCTGTAGGGACTCTTGTCCTATGAATGGATCGGGCGCAGCCCCCCCTTCCGAATCATTATCTTTCCGGAATAATCAACCTGTAGGTTTAATATTCCAACATTATGGACCAAGGTTGATTTCAGTCCGGAACGTGCTCTCAAACGGCGCGTCGCGGCTAAATCATTACCATCCCAGAATAATTAACCCGGGGTCTATATTCTGGGAGCATTATGAATCCAGGTTTATTATCTCCTAGAGATAATGAGCCGGGATCAATATTCCGACATGAAAAAACCTGGTGGGGAACCCGGGTGTTGATGGGGAACGAACAATTATTATCATTCCAGAATTACGAAAACCGGTTTCATTATCCCCGCGGCATTATAAACCCCAGTCAATACTCCCAGAACATTATGAACTTAAATTAATATGTTTTCGGGGTCGATATCCCCAGAACAGTATAGACCAAGGTTTGTAATAATGTTCCGGGGGGGGCATTCTGAACCCCAATCAACATTCCGAGAACATTGAAACCCAAATTCATAATGTTCCGGGGGAGACACAAAGAACCCGGGTCAATAATCCTGGAACATTATAAGCCCCGATTCATATCTATTTGGGGTCCATCCTGGAGGATGGGTGGGAGTTAGCTAGACGGCTTGCGGGAGGGCGGGTAGCTTGACCCCTCCCCCTGAGCTCCCCCCCCGGACCTGGACGGGGCGCCCCGCGAGCGGTCAGAGCATCTAGGATGGCCCAAGAGACGGCTCCAAGAGGGCCTCAGAGAGCAAGGATGACTTCCAAGACGGCCCAAGATAGCTCAAAGTGGCTCAATCTGCCTCCCAAGATGTTCCTAAAAGCACCAACACCGCTCCATGACAGCTCCAAGTGGCTAATTAGGGAGCTTCCCCAGGAAGCCGTCAAGAGGCCAAATCCTTCGAAAACCGTGGGAAAATCGACGATGTGTACCTTCTTGCCTTTTCGCTTCCGATGGCCTTCCGTGGCCTCAAGACAGCTCCAAGAGGGCCCCTGAGGGCCCCGAGAGAGGCCCAAGAGAGCCCCAGGACGGCCGCAAAACCGCCCAAGAGCGCTCCAAGAGCGCCCCAAGAGGGGCCCAAGAGATTTTTTGGGGTTCCTGAGGGGGGAGCGCAGTTGGAGCTCCCATCTGTTTTGCTTGGTGTCCTCCAAGATGGCCCCAAGAGCGCTCCCAAGGCTCCCAAGAGCGCCTCAAGAGGGCCCCAAGAGGCGCCCAGGAGGCCCGAAGAGGCGCCCAAGAGGACTCCAAGAGGCTCCCAAGAGACCCTCAAGAGGAGAGGCTCCCCGAGGCACCCAAGACGCTCCAAGAGGCCCCTGGGACCGCCAAGAGGCCCCCAAGACGCTCCAAGAGACCTCCAACAAGCTTCCACGAGACATCCGAGGAGACTCTGAGGCAACTCGCCTGGGCATCGTTTATGGATGGGATGGTGGGGATACGCGAAGCGTCAATCATCCCTGTAACAATATTCAGCACGGTATAGAAGATGAGGTGGAATACCCTGACCATGGGGTAGATCCACTCGTGGTAGTTACGCAGCAACACGAACCCTGCGCCGCACTGGAGGCGGTGCTGGGTCATGAAGTCGTCCTTCCAGTCCGCTGCCAATGATGCCGATGCCCATCTCGCAGATGGCCCTCAGCATGGTAGCTCTTCTGACATTTGATGCGGGGTCTGCCGCATACGTGATCCACCCACTCTTGGCCGAGACCCTCGGAAGGCTGGTCCAGAACATGGGCGGTAAATCGTACTTTGAAGAAAGATCAGCTCGCAGCCCACTCCACTGCGGGCACTCTACGACCTGATGTCGGATAGATGGCCACAAATGGCCGCAATGTGGGCAAGGTAGCCCTGTCTGTCGACGCGTCTCCGATGAAGCCGCCCCTGAGCGATACACTGAGAGGCTGAACTTCTCGGCAATACTCAAAGAATGAAACCACTTTGTGAATACTTTGTTGCTGCAGGCGTCGACGTCCACTGACTCGACCTCCTCCGAATCCTTCCTGCGGGGCTCCACAATTTGAAGGCACCTGATCCTGGCTATGACCCGAAGGACATGTTGTGCTCTCTTTGAGTGCGTCCAAAATCTGTGCTGAGCGTCCGCCAAACCTTCCACAATCTGCAATACTCTGAAGTCGTCCATATGCGAGACTTCCAGTAAAACTCCACGTTCTTCTGAAAATCGTATATACTCCAATCCCAACGTTCGAGCGTGTACTTGGATCGAGTTCTCCAGGAAAGATGACCAAATCAGCTTTTCGTCATGTAGACGTCTGAAGGCGAAGAGGCTGCAAGAGTATACGGGGTGGAGCATGATGTTCTGGCACCACCATCTGCCCAGGCACCACCATGTATTCTGGGTGCGCCACACTGCTCTCGCCAAAAGCTTTGCCGTCGCTGTCGGTGGGGGTGTCACAATAGGGGCTCCCCACGTCCATAGAGGTCTTAGGTATGTATAGGCCAACCGCAATCTCACCATGCAAGATCCAGGAACAGACTGAAGAATAGAAATCCCAGTGTGAAGTTTAGCCCATTTATCCTTTGGTATGATGGCCCATGTCGCGTCGGTAGGACAAGCAAGGAGACCGAGATGTTCGATCTGCTGCGGCTCCGCGTCCGTGGTGGACCATATCTGCGTTTTCTTGTTGTTCGCTTTGAAACCCACGTCACTGTCGAAGGTAGATGTTTCAGCCATGTCGTCCAGCAGCCCCTGCGGGCTATCCCCAACAATATAGCGGTCATCCATAAAGCATCCCGAGGGACCAGACGTGATCCAAGGAACAAGGGTACTGATCATGGTCCCAGGTGCTGTTGTTGTTGTTGTTGTTGGGGGGTACGCACGCCCGGACGGCGGCCCCCGCCGACCTATCAGAAGACGAAGCGCAGAGGCCGACACGAGATACCCGCCAGGAGGAAGGGGGGAGGCGGAGCAGGAAAGGGGGAGGAGGACGAGGAGGGGGAGGGGGAGGCGGAGCAGGAAAAGGGGGAGGAGGAGGAGGAGGAGGGGGAGGGGGAGCAGGGGAGGAGAGGATATCCCGTAGCGGGCCACAGGGACACCCAAACACTCGTTCGCGCAGGGTCCAAATGGTGGGCGGTTCCCCCTTGAAAAAGCGGTTGGGATCACTGTGCACCCGTGCGTCCCGGACACGTGCACAACATAATAGCGTACAACACACACTCACACTACACAAAGTACATGCACGCACAGTGCGTTTCCCTTTATGCGACTCCCCGTCCATGCGACGTTCCCTCCCATACGGTTCGCAAGCGGCCTGGGTCCTCCGAGGTTGCATCACATGCCAACAGGGTGCAAGACCCCCACCCAAAGAGGCCCGGTGCAAGACCGGACCCCGGCGCAGCGGGCGGCCCGAAGGCGAAGGCGGCACAAGCAACCAAGCGAGAACACGGGCGCGCACAGCTCGCAGCTTGACGAAATACAGGATTACGCTCGAAACCCGCCAGATCCCGGACAACGTACACAACAGAATAGCGTACAACACACACTCACGAACCACACGGTACCATACACAATGTACATAAACGCACACTGCGTATCCCTTTCTACGCGACTCCCCGTCCATGCGACGTTCCCTCCCATACGGTTCGCAAGCGGCCTGGGTCCTCCGAGGTTGCGTCACACGCCAACAGGGTGCAAGACCCCCACCCAAAGAGGCCCGGCGCAAGACCGGACCCCGGCGCAGCGGGCGGCCCGAAGGCGAAGGCGGCACAAGCAACCAAGCGAGAACACGGGCACGCACAGCTCGCAGCTTGGCGAATTACAGGATTACGCTCGAAGCCCGCCAGAGTTCCCCCACCCACCCTCCGAGAAAAATGACAGAAGAACCAAACGTTTCCAAACTGCTCGGTAGCCACTGGCGCCCCTGGTCGCCTGGCCAAAACATGTAAGGTCGACACCTTAGGACCAGCAACGCGCCGCACAGTAACCCGCGCTCCACCTACACCAGGGTGCGGTGGTCAGGCGCCCCCCAGCGCTAACGACTAGTGTGTGGCCAGGGGAGATGCCCGGAGACATCAACCGCCCCCGGCCCAGGGACTGTCGAGTGATGCCCTCCCGCCCTGGCAGGAGACACGAGCAAGAACAAAGGGAACGAACGACCCAGGGCACAATGCGCACAGCGGAGTCGGAGTC